CTGTTGTTGTTGTTGTTGTTGTTGTTGCTGTTGTTGTTGTTGTTGTTGTTGTTGTTGTGTTAATGAATGAAGATGAAAAGTTATATAGTTTTATTTTTATGTAATTTTTTCGTCAAGTTCTAATTAATATTTTAATTTTTGTCATAGTTGAAAAATATAATATTGCACATGATACATTTCTTATAGCTATTGCATATTGATGTCCCCAAAAAATATATGATGTAGTTTATCATATTAAAAATAGTCATAGACTAAACAAAAAATAAATTAATCATTTTTAGTACTTTTAAAAAATTTAATGAATAAATAAATTATTTAATGAAAAGAATGAAGAAATTTTTTTCCCTTAGTTACATTAATTATATTAAAACTAAAAAGTGTAATTTATTTAACTTCTCTTAATTATTGAAAATGAGAAACATAAAAAAAAGTGATGTGACATTTATCTTCTCTTTATTGACCTTTTTTCTTATTTAAATTAATTAATTTTTGTAAAAGTAATTTATTTAATTAATTAAAAATAATTTTTATTAATAGAGAAACATTTACAATAAAAACTTTTCACATACTACTTTATTAGGAGTAAATAATAATCATCCATAACTCACGTCTAATTTCCAATCCTAATAGATTGATTTTCCACTTTTTTTTCCTTTTTTTTTTGACCTTCTTCTGATTATAATTTTAGAATAACAATTTAAAAAAATATTTTAAGTTATTTTCTCTTTATGATTTACTTACAACCAATATATCTATTTACATATAAAGTTAGAATGTTAGAAATAAATAAGATGATGTGGTACATTTCTATCACCTCCGATCACATGTATTTTTTCTCTAAATTATTTAGCATGTTTTTTATTTTTCTTCACCAGTGTGATATTGTAAAATATATTTTCAAATTTTCCTGTTCAAATAATTACTTAATAGTATTATTTTGCATAATTAACATTTTTTTATATATGTAACTTTTAGTTTTAATTGTTAATTGTTAATTAATAATATTCATGACTTCAAAACCTTTCATGTGGATAACCCCCTAAAGTAATTAATGTGCAAGTTATATAGTTTTTCCTATCTTACTTAGTTGCTACAAGTAACAATTTTAAAGAGATTTTCTATAGACTTTTTGTATTTTATTAGTATTTTTTTATATATTATAAATTTATAAGTGTTTATTAACAGTTTGGTATATTACAACAGTTGCTTTTTTTTCGTTCTGTAATAATAATTATTGTGTTGCTATTTTAAAAAAATATTGAATGTTTGCTTTTCATATTAGATTCATGTTAAATTAAAAAAATTAAGTAGAGTATATTGTTAGTTGAATAATGAAAATATGATACTCCTATTGAATTGCTTATGTAGTGTTGACAGGATTTCTCAATATACCGAAGATGATTTTCACCAAAATAAAAGTCAACCTTTTGTTATTTTATAAGCAATAGATTCTAAAAAATGTAATTATTTTAGATAAAATAATATGATAAGAATGACTTGAAATTAGTTGTATATTTCCACTCTAGGAATCATATATGATATGTTTTCTAATTTATTAAATTATCGGTTATCAATTTATTTAGAGTAACTCTTTTCATTAATATTTTTTATATGAACATTGTATAATTTAACTCCCTCCTAAAATATAATTTAGAATTTACTACAGCCGCATAAACAAAAAGAAATTTTTCATGAAATTATTTTTCTTTCTTTACATGTTTCTAAAGATAACATAAAAAATTGATTATACGAAATCAACTATATTTAAAATACAAAAAGCATAGATAGTGAACAACAAATTGAAAAATATTATTTATTGAGTTTAATGATAATAATATTTGACTCGATATATTTAAACAAAAAAATTTATTCATAAATCTAATAATGTCCGCGCAAAGCGCGGATATGTTAACTAGTAAATAAATAAATGTTGCTATTGAGATAGGGTAGAGAGAAGTTAGTTAAAGTTTTTTTTTTTTTCTTTTTGAAAAAAATAGTTGCACTTACTTTGTTTACTTAAATAAGATTATACTTCACATATCTTTGCTTTTAATCAAGCGTGTTCATCAATCTAATCATATTTAACATGAATTCTTCTAGCCAGTTCAAATCCTTATTACTTACAACGTCAAACCTTTTGTAAAATAACATCACTGAAGATTTCTACTTGCAGTTGGAATGCGTCTGCAACTCCTGGTCAATGATCACATAGGAATAACTTATATATTATTGATAAGTTATTAGAACACATTATTTCTATCTCAAAATCTTCAGGGGAACTTGGTTCATAAGCTATTCTCTTTTAATCATCAAGATCAATTTTAGCTCAACTTTGTTTTTATTAATTAACCAATAAAAGTTATTTATCACTACGTCCACTAAATACGTTTCAAGGAGCTTATGAGGTGCCAAAAAATTAAATAATGCAATCTAATTGAATCTATCAAAGAATATTTTCCATCTTTGTCATTAATTTCATTCTACTTCCTTGCTAATGACATGAAGCAACACTAATGGATCTTCATTTTCTTAATATTGCTATATTAGTTTTTTTTATTGGAAAAAGCTTTGAAAATACTCCAATTTTGGTCAGAATTGATGTTACGATACCCAACTTTATGAATGACTTTTTAGCTTTGCATTTTTTTAAAGTTTTATTTTAATGGTATATATGTCCACACGTGGATACATTACTATTTAAAATGATGCAATATTTATGAAATTCACAACATTAATTCAATAGTGTAGGAGGATAAAAGGTCCTCCGTAAATTTTGATATCGTAACAACAATTTTAATTAAAGTCCGAATATATTTGAAACGTTTTTCCCTTTTATATTAAACATTAATAGTTATCATGGAGAATCCTGAATATCTGTACATGACATGATATAATAATTTTTTAATATAATTTAATATTAAAACTTAAAACAAGCCAAAGAAAAGAATGACGGTGGAGAGAAATTTGCTCTTGATCGTAGAATATTTGAACACCATTTTTCTATATAACCCTTATAATCCTAAACATTATGTTTCAAACTTTTCTCTCAGTTCTTTTTTTACCATTCTTTCATCTCTCTCTCAAGAAAAAAAGAAAAAAACAAAAACAACTAGAGAGAGAGAAAGAATGGGAGCATGCGCAAGCAAGCCTAATGTGTTAAATGGTGATGCTCCTGAAGACGCACTAGACAAGGAAGAATTGGTGAACAAGGAAGATATTGTCATTGTCGATGATGCTGATGCCAACCTTACCCCATCCGTATGTATTCATATTTCAACACACAATCTATACATATTGCTCTCTATTTACCTTCTTTTCTAATTTTATGCCTACTTTTTTTTTTCCTTCACTCTATTTAATATTTTTTACTTTACATAAGTTTAAAAAAGAATTAAAAATTGGCAAATAAGCGTGCAAACACATAAATATATTCTTTAGGCATGTATGAACATATCAATGAGTTAAACTTCTTTTAAAAAATCTAAAAATCGTTATAAGATATAAGTAATGAGCAATTGAATATTTGAACGGGAACCTAGAAGCTTATTTGGAATAATTTAATTGTTTATACAATTGTCGTTTCTAATTGTACGCAACCAATTGAATTTGGAGATCTTTTTCCGTGTAAATATATCAATTCAATCATTAAAAATTTAGGTATTAATATGAGTAATGAATTTGTAGTTACAAATGTTTCACATCTTTAATGTTTGAACGTAACATTCTGTTAGCTTCCTTCTTTTTACATTTGCATACGTATCAAGATAATACTATCACATGAAACTACTATTTTGTGGAAGCATTACACAAATTGGAATAACATATGTGTTTCTTGATTTGTCTAGTAGATCATTGTCAATTTTATGGTGCATCTTAAAAAAAATAATTATTTATGACTTCAATATACTTTATATTTACTGATATAAGTTTTTTTTTAATGAAGTATCAGTCATAAATGTATGTATAGATACCCCTTACTTAACTTACGATTATAAGACTCATATCTGATTTTGACAAAAAAATATTTGCTGAATTGTATCATAAACATGTTTTTAATAAACCTTTACAAACAAAAATATGAGAATAAATAATTATATTTTTATAATTTCTATCATTAAATTTAAAGAAAATAAAATAAAATCTTAAACAATTAAAAAGAAGACACGCTAGAGGCACAACCTAAAAATAAAAAGGAAACCAGCTTACCTTTTAAGTGATGGTGAGCAAAATAAACGGCAACCAAAATTTCCTTATTAATAGAAAAAGAGAATTTCTAATGGAAAAAAAAACAGAAAAAGTAATTTAACAATTTCATTTTGCAATTTTTATTTATTAAGCATAAGTAAAAATGAAGATGTGAAAAGCTACAAATATTGTTGTTACTATGTAGAAGTTTCAACGAAATATTGTTATATAGCAATAGTGTTTGATACAATATGAAACTACTTGTTATAAATAAATTTGCGTTTATATTTTTGTTAATGAATATTATTACTATTTAATGACATTTTCTTATTACAATTTTTAACTCGTGGATATCTCACTTATAATACAAAATGATACGATTATATGCTGATATTACTCATTTTTTTAACTTTCAATAAGTGAGAGTTATCCATGTCACAATACGCAACAAATCAGCTTAACTAATTTGCATTTGGAGGATGTTTTATAATTTCAATTGATATGAAATATTGTGATTGGCCAAAGAGAAATATTAATGTAGCTATAGTGTAAACTCATGACAAAATTATTATTTTACTAATGTAATTGTCGATTATCACCTTTTTTTTCTACACAATCAGTCACTAACCGGTATATCTTTCAGATTTGGGCGACTAATCATTTAGATGGGCTTTTAGTGACTACACAACTTGAGCTTAAGATAGTACTTTTTTTTAGCATAGATTATATATGAAATATATATAAAAAAAAGAAATATTCATCCCTTATTTAAAGTTTTTTATTCAATACAAAAACAAATTAATCTACTGATTAATGAGAGGGGATGTTTGTGATTTGACCTTTCTAATTCTACCTTATTTTGACTATGACTAGACTTCACCCTTCACAAAGAAAGAAATTAAAGCGTGTTGTTACTTTTAACATTAATGTATTTGACAGAATGAAGAAGGAAAGGGGTCAAAAGAAGTGACATTAGTAAAAGGTAATGAAGTTGAGAAGGTAGTTGATGATCAAGAGAAGAAAATAGAACATGTGAAATCACAAAATCTATCTATGGAGAGTGAAGATGAAGAGAAATTACCAGAAGAAGAAGCTCCTGCAACAAACACTACTATAGAGGAAGTAAAAGTTGCCTTTGAGGATAACAAAATTGAAGACAATGTAACTGTTACGGAGGATCTTGATTCTGATGCTCAGAAAAATAAAACAGACGAGAAGCCAATAGTAGTTGCGGAGAATCTAAATTCTGATGATCAGAAAAACAAAGCAGACAACAAACCAGTTGCCACAAAGAAAGGAAAGTTTTGGTGGGACAAGTAAACTATCATTTTTAATTTCACAACTCATTTTTTCATCAAAAAATTGTCATTAATTCCATTTTGTACTCTTCAATCTTATTCTCATTAATTTAATTCGATTGTGATTAAATTTATATGATTCATTCTGCTTCTTCATTATAGAATTGCCACCTCCGTATTAAAATATTATTGTTAGTTTTTCCATTAGCAAATCACCACTCTTCTACTTCAATATTAATTATTGTTATCTATCAATGTTTATTCATTCCAATTATTGGCCTCCAATCATTTGAGATCACACAAAAATAAACAAATAACCAAATTATTTAGTGAACACACATTTTTATGACATAAGTGGTTGTCCTGGCACCCATACTATCCTCCTGTGGGAGAACTATTATAGCACAACAACTTATTAAAAAAATAGGCATTTAAAGATACGAAAGCAAGTTTAAATGTCTAAAGGAAAATGAAGTTTTCATAAATTCTGAAAATTTAACAAAATAATTACTAAAACATTTTCGAAAAAACAATCCCTAGAAAATGAAAGTCAATGTACCAAAACTCTAATAACGAAAAGTGTAAGAATAAGGGGTAAAACCGCAAAAGCTAAAACATAACAATGGTCTAAAGAACAAGTCTATTTCGAAGAGAATGGACTAAAAACAAGAAAATTCATGGCAACCTGAAAGAACTGGCTCACCTTTAGTTAAATTGGTAGGTTATTAGCATTTTAATATAAATATTTGACATATTAAATTGTTTTATTTTGGAGTTATAAGAATGATCATTGGTAGGCATTTGTGTTTTAAACTACCAATTTAATCATGCTATTCTTCTTTGACTTGGTAGCAATGTAATGCCGTTACTTTTGGCTTTATTGGCTGAATTCATTGTGAGATAGAAACATCCCAATAAACATTGGAATAGATAACTTCCACATCATCCATTAGCATTGGTTATTGATCACTTTATTTCATTCTTAATTCCTCCATTATTATTTGTAACCTATGTAACTCCTTTGTAACCTATGAAACTCCTAAGGCCATTATCTTTTTACTACATCCATTATCTTCCTATTCATTGCTAGGAAGACTTATTGTAGTATTAGTGGTGGTCTTATTTGGTTTGAAACACACAAAAAATACAAGAGAAAACAAAGAGTGAAAGAGTTAGTCTAAAAGAGAGTTCTTATTAGTTGAAGGAAGGTGTTCTTCTTTGTGGAGCTTTGGACTCAACTCTTGTCTAGAGTTGTTGAGTTATACTTTGTGAAGGTTGTTGTATCCTGAAGGAGACAAGTCAGAGAGGACTACTGCTGGACCGGTGAAAACATTTGCTGCAGTGGGCTTGAATCTCCTTAAAGAGAGCGAGATATCCTCGCCTCAGCGTGAAGAGATTGATTTCTTCATTTTATTTTCAATTGTAATCTTGCAATTTTATTTTCTTGTAAGTTTTTTCACTAATAATTTTAAGGAGATTCAAAGATGGCTACAATTGAAAAAACCGGTGATGTCAAGATGGGATATCTTAACAAGCCATTTCGGTTCAATGGTAATCATTTCAAGAGATGGAAGGGTAAAGTACTTTTCTACTTAAGTCTTCTCAATGTTTCTTATGTATTGACCGAGAAGAATCCAAATAAAGAAGACATCACCACTATGAATGATGATGAAACTATTTCTCATCTAGAGAAAGTGGAAAAGTACGATGGTGATTCCTATAAGTGTCGGTATTATCTTCTTAATTTGTCTATCTGATAATTTTAATGATTATTATGATAGAACTTACTCTAGTGCAAAGAAAATTTGGAAGGCATTGCAGAGTAAGTATGATACCGAAGAGGCTGGAGCGAAAAATATGCAGCTAGTAGATTTTTTCGTTTCCAAATGATGGACAACAAGTCAGTGGTAGATCAAGCTCAAGACTTCATCATGATTGTTGGAGAGATTAGGTCCGAAGAGGTTAAAATTGGAGCTAACCTTATTGTTTGTGGCATAGTGGATAAACTTCCACCTTCTTGGAAGGAATTTCAAAAAACTATGCGTCACAAACAAAAGGAAACCTCTCTTGAAACCTTAATAATGAAAATCCGCATGGAAGAAGAAGCAAGGGGACAAGATGCACCTCTACAAACAAATTAGAACAACAACACACCGAAGGTAAATTTAATTACTTTGAATAATGCTACTCCTGAAACTCACAAAAATATTTCTTTAAAGCCTAAGAAGAAAAAATTCAAGAAAAATAACGGTAGACCTCCAAAGAAAAATAATGGTGAAAATCACCAAGCACAAAATCAACAAGTTCAAGAATAAAAACCATGTTTTGTTTGTGGCAAGAGTGGGCATATTGCTCGATTTTGCAGATTTTAAAAACGTGGTCCTAATCCTTGGCAAACGTTACCGAAGAACCTTTTGTGGTGGTGATTACCGACATAAACATGGTTGAGAATGTTAATGGATGGTGGGCTGATTCTGGTGCAAACTGTCATGTCTGTTATGACAAAGACTGGTCTAAAAAAATATACTCATTTTGAGGAGACCAAAACCATCATGCTTGGTGATTCTCACACTATTCAAGTGCTTGGAAAGGAAGATGTTGAATTGTGTATTACTTCTGGAAGGATATTAACATTGAAAGATGTACTTTATACTCCCTCTGTGAGAAAAAAATTGATGTCTAGTTTTCTTCTTAATAAAGCAGACTTTAAATAGATTATTGAATCTGATCAATTTGTAATAGTGAAGAAAAGTATTTTTGTGGGGAAGGGGTATACATGTGACGGGATGTTTAAGTTGAATGTTAAAATGAATAAAACTTCTACTTCTGTTTATATGCTTTCTTCTACTAATTTTTGGCATGCTCGTGTGTGTAATATTAATGATCGTTATGTTGGAATCATGAGTAGTTTAGGATTAATCCCAATGTTCAAAAAGAATTTTTAAAAGTGCGAGGCTTGTAGTAAAACCAAGATCACTAAAAGGCCTCATTTTCAAGTTGAAAGAAAAACTGATTTGTTAGAATTGGTTCATACTGATATTTGTGAACTTGGTGAAATTCTAACTCGTGCAGGTAATAGATATTTTATCACTTTCATTGATGATTTTTTTTAATTTTACATATGTTTACTTGATGAAAAATAAAAGTGATGCTTTTGAAAATTTCAAAACTTATCTCAATGAGGTTGAAAATCAGTTTGAAAGAAAAATAAAAAGAATTAAAAGTGATAGAGGTCGTGAATATGAATCAAATGAGTTTAATTCTTTTGTTAGATCATTGGGAATAATTCATGAAACTACTCCTCCTTACTCTCCTTCATCTAATGGAGTAGCAGAAAGGAAAAATAGAACTTTGGTTGAATTGACTAATGCCATGCTTAATGAGTCACATGCACCTTTAAATTTTTGGGGTGAAGCTATCTTAACTGCTTGTTATCTGTTGAATCGTGTGCCTAATAAAAAGTCCAAAATTGATACCTTTTGAATTGTAGAAAGGTTACACGCCAAGTTTGGAATATCTAAGAGTTTGATGTTGTCTAGCCTTTGTGAGGCTAATGGATCCCAAGATTACAAAGTTGGGTAAGAAAGTTACTACTTGTGCTTTTCTTGGTTATGCTTCATATAGTATAGCCTATTGATTTTTTAATCTTGAAGATAATATTGTAATAGAATATGGTGATGCTATTTTTCATGAAAATAAATTTCCTTTTGATAATAAAAATAGTGGGGGTCAAAGGACTGAACAAAATATTTTGTCACTATCTAGTTCTTCTACTTCAACTTTGAAAAATAAAGAAGTTGGTGATTTTGAGTTAAGAAGAAGTAAAAGAGATAGAGTAGAAAAAGATTTTGGTCCTGATTTTTATGTGTTTAATGTTGAAAATAACCCTCTAACTTTAAATTAAACATTATCTTCACATGATTCTATTTTTTTGGAAAGAGGCTATAAATGATGAAATGAAATATCTAATTTCTAATAAAACTTGGAAGTTACTTGATTTACCACCGGGTTGTAAAACAATTGATTGCAAATGAGTCTTAAGGAAAAAGTTGAAACCGGATGGTTCTATTGATAAATACAAGGCTAGACTAGTTGCAAAAGGTTTTAAATAACTAGAAGGCCTAGAATTTTTTGATACTTTTTCTCCGGTATCAAGAATTACATCCATTAGACTTTTAGTAGATATTGCTGCAATTTTTTATTTGCAAATTCATCAAATGAATGTAAAAACTGCTTTTCTAAATAGAGACCTAAATGAAGAAATTTATATTGATCAACCCGAGTGTTTTGTTGAAGCAGGACAAGAAAGCAAAGTATGTAAACTTACTAAATCCCTATACGACTTGAAACAGTCACCAAAACAATGACATGAAAAGTTTGATCCATTCATGATTGAAAATTGTTTGAAAACAAATGAGTTTGATAAATGCATATATCATAAGTCTTGGAATAATTCACATGTGATCGAATGCCTATATGTTGATGATTTGTTGATCTTTGGCTCTAATATGAACGTTATTGATGAAGCTAAAAGTGTTCTTAGAAGCCATTTTGATATGAAAGATCTTGGTGAGACAAATTTAATTATTGGAATAAAAATAACAAGAACATGTGAGGGGATTTTCCTTGACTAGTCACATTATGTTGAGAAAATTTTGAAAAAATATAACTTTCATGATTGCAAGCATGTTGCTACTCCTTTTGATTCAAGTGTTCATTTATTTCTGTTGAAAGTGAAAATGATGTAATATATCAAAAGGAATATGCTAGTATAATCGGAAGTTTGAGATATGTGACTGAATGTACTAGGCCAGATATTGCATATACAGTAGGAGTACTTGGCAGGTTAACAAGCAAGCCAGGTAATGAATATTGACATGCTTTAACGAGAGTTATGAGTTATTTGATTGGAACGAAAAATTATGGTTTGTTCTTTGAAAAATATCCTGTAGTACTTGAAGGCTTTTGTGATGGAGATTGGAACACTTTGTCAGGTGATTCCTGTTCTACTACTGGTTATGTCTTGACTTTAGTTGGTGGTTCTGTTTGTTGGAAATCAAAAAAACAAACTATAATTGTTAACTCTACCATTGAGGCTGAACTAATTGATTTAGCTTCAGCTAGTGAGGAAGCAAATTGGT